GAATAATTATTTATTTACCTGATCTTTCGTAAAATTGCTTTGTTTTTAACTTATATTAACTTTTGGTCCTTTTTAACCCACCAACGTAAGGTAAGTTATATATAGGTTATATAAAAAGCTGCTAAATCTAATTCGAAATTAACAATAATCTCATAAAACAGTTAAATAATGTATACTTAAAAATTACATTAAGGTCCCGTAAACTAAACAATAGTGCTCACAACCAAAAAAACCAACAACGAAAAAAAATCTGTTGTGTTTTTTCAAACATTGCCGTTTATCTTCTGATAGCAATGTTGTGAGAAATAATGTAATGGCTGGTTATGAATCTTTTTCCCTCTACTTTCAAATATTGTTGATAAAAATTCTTAACTTTGTGGTGGTGAACATTTTACCCGCGGAGCTTTAAGTCTTTTACATTAAAATTAAAAATTTACATAGTACATCGTTTCTAATTTATGATTCCAATTTTTTTTTTTGTGATTCCAAAGAAATAAATCTGCAGATAAAGAAATTGTATTCGAAGTCAAATTAAGCACTAAAACAAAGTGTATGTCTTACAATGCAATAACATACAGTTTAAGTACTTAAAAGATATCATCCTCAAATATTTCGCGAGTTCACACAAAAAGATCTATAAAATAAAATGTTCATGAAAATGTTTCATTAAAATCGTGATGAGAAGAATTTTATATGTTCACAAAAATGTGAACAACAGCGTCCCAATCACCCGACACTCCTAAACGCGCATACATTATTACGTTTTATATGGTCGTATAAAAAGGAATATAAAATATTTTATTATCAAATCGAGCGAGCATTCTGGCATCGGTGAAAGGGTGATCATCTTTGAGAGAGGTCTCAGCATATTATAGTGTGTGAATAAAAAATCGAATGAGACTCTGTTGTTTGAAATAAGATGCTCACTAAAATATATACCAATAACAAAAGGAGATGAGCCGCATGCTAGCGGAATATACATTTCGTTTATCAAAAGGCAACTATAAATAATAAAACATGAAACATTGGTCACAGAATATCGTGATTGAATAGAAAACATTTATATATATATATATATATATATATATATATATATATATATATATATATATAAATCTTTCACCTAAGCTCCAATTTTATTCCGTCATAAGAGTTTTCTACAAACGCAGATGCGCAGGTGTCGTATCTTTTTATCTCGCGTGGTCGATTTTGAAATTTGCGCCCAAATTTTCAATGATAATTTTAAAGAAATTAATAAAATGAAGACGATTTATCAAATCTTTTATGACGATAAAATACGAACTCATTCAGACAAGTACAAAAGCCGCTTCAAAGATCACCCAAACTCACTTGCCTGAGAACTCCGCCAATACACTACCAAGATCAGGTTGAAAATAAAGTTCATTCTGCATAAATCTCAATTAATATCCAAGTAATTTTGTATTTTTATTCATGAAATTTTAAAACTGATATCTTTTTAAAATAGGTGTCAAAATGCGTATATACTACTTTTTCACAATTTTGTTATTCATGCAATTTTCATTTAACTTTTTTTGTTGTGGGTTCATTTCAACTGTCGTATACTTTTCTGAATTAAACTGATTTAAAATACTGTTTTAAAAAAAACTAAAAATATATTTAAAAAAATTGACAGAAACCTATGACAACGCGTACAATACAAAAATTTATGGCAAAAAAATTTACCGCAGATAGATAATAAAATAAATACTAGGTTTAAAAAAATTGAAATATATCAAAATTGATATAAAAAATAACGTAATCTATGACAACGCTACAAAATAGAAATCTATTGCAAAAATGCTTTCATAATGAAAAAATATTATTAAAAATGTATTATTTAGTTCAGACATTTCATATACTACTTATTATCAATTTGTCAATCCACAAATATAGTTCATTAAAAATTTTAGACAACTTTCGATTAATTTTAATTTGTAAATTTCCTCTAATAATTATTAAAAAAATCCACCTTAACTTTAATATTAGAATGAGTTCTCTTACGATTAGAGAAATTTAAATAGATATTTTTGATTACTAACATTAGAAATTGTATTTGCGCTTTTTTGTTGTAAAATGTAATATGATTAACGGCATAATAGATACCTCGGATTTTGATATCTATCATCCAATAAATTAGAAAATCAGATGCTTTCTAACTACTAACAAATCATGATGTAGAATTATATTTAATTGTAGAACTAGTTCTGCGTTCTCAAACAATTATCGTTAATTGTTTATAAGTAAATATATATATATATATATATATATATATATATATAATTTGAATTCCAAATTATATAAACGTGATCAACAATAAAATGAATTTGTTAATAATGTTAATTAGAACTATATGAAAATGAATTGTGCATACTGGTAGAGATAAAGTAAAATTAAACACAAAGAAATGAAGATAATTTTGCATTTGTAGTATTCGCTTTATTAAGAAATCTTTTATGTTATTATTAAAAGTCCTTTGTTAATGAACGGAACTGATATGGATCAGCTTGAGAATGATCATCATTTTCTTCGGCTACTTAATTAATACCGCACTAATTAAGATGGCAAATTAAACAGACATAGTGTATTCAAACACGCACCTATCCATATACGCAAAAAATATTTCTACACATCTATGCACATATTTAACGAGCTTTGGCGCATTTGTAGCAAAATTCTTAGAATATTGCGGATTCAGTGAAAATGCCACAAAGTGACTACTGTTTCAATGTACAATTATCTGTTTACATAATTATAGATGTGGGTGTTGAGAAATTAGCATGTTGGAGAAATAATTCATTCGCGGTACGAATCCGAGGATCTACACGCACAACTTTTTCGGTCTAAAGATTTCGGCGCTGATGTGTAAAATTTTCGCGTTTATAATATTTCGTATGTACTGCAAAGTGAAGCGCATTTCTATATATGGGTTCATAGAATGCTAAACAGGCAAATGTGGAAGTCGGATGTGTTGTTCTCTAAAATATGCTGTCTTTATCTCAGCAATTATCTTTTGAATTATACTGTTCCAGTTGAAATTATACCAGTAGCAGTAATTGTATAGTATTTAGAACATTTTAACTAAGATGATAATATTGACGTGGAAGACAGGTAAATATATAAATAGTATTTATAGAATTTTTAGCCAAACATTTTTTATGATCTGTCCGAAAAAAAGATTGAATATATTTTTTAAGTCAATAACTGGTATAGTTGATAATATTATTTAAAACAACTGTCGAATTTGAAATAGTTGAAAAAAAAGTCAATATGTGGGTATAAAATAAAAACTCATAAAGAAGCTATATTAAAATATTCAATATAAAATAATATTGCACGCTTCAAAACTAAAATATTTTTCTATACTCCTATTCCCCGCTTTACCCGATAGGTTCCATAAAAAACCGTGTATCTTGAAAAATTCACTCTTATGGAAAAACCGTGCTAAAAGAAAATAACTAGAAAAGCCCTTTTTGACAGTGTTTAATATGTTGAATAACAAACACATTGAACGAAAAATAAACGTAAATATATTTAACACCAAACACATTTAATAATTCATAAGATTAATTTATTTTATTAATAAAAGAAATGTAAATAACCTATTTTAAATATTGCATTTTCTTTATAGATAAAAATTAAAATTATGAATTCATGTAAGTTGATTGCAATAAATAAGACCTAACATTCTATTTTCATTCAAATTTAATTGCTGTCACTTTGAACAAACTGGCTTATACACACATAAAATTTAGTTTTGATCATAAAACGGGGAGTTCCGATTTTATCTTCCATTTCCATCATTTTGTAGTGTTGTATTTTGACAGAAAAATATTTTTACAGTAAAACAATGAAAATGTTATTGTAGATATAAGCAAATTACAGTTTAGTGCTTTTAATTTCGTGTAAATAAAAAATTAGTAATTTTCGTTAAAAAAAAATTATGAAATCCGTGTAAAACATTGTGTATTTAATTTTTCAGTTTCCTCATTGAGAGAATTGGCATAGTATAGATACATTTGAATATTCGGGAAAAGCTTTAGCTCTTGTACGCTCATAAACGCTCCTCTTGGATGATTGGGTATTTTTTTATAGACTTTTGATTGAAATTTGCCACATTGTTATAAGGCTTTGTTTGGTAAAACCTTTCCACCAATTTTTCTTGTTGCGCCTAAGCTTTAACTATTAAAAATGAGTTAAAGTGAAGAAGAGTTTCCTGATATGTATGTTAGGGTGGACCTTAATTTGGACATTTTCGAATTTCCTTGCTCCCAAGGGCTCAAATGATACCAAATTGATGAAAAACAATTCTCTGAAAGTTTTAGGTCTTAATATTAAGTTTTAGATAGTGCGCAATTCAATCAAATTTCGCATGGAAAAAATTTTGAAAATTGAAAAAAAAAATAGGTATAACTTAGCGACAAATGAATTAAAAGTGAAAATTTGTGTCCTTTTTTATTGAAAATTTGACGCTCTGCAAACTTTTTGAAATTTTTTTAATGCTGTTTTCTTACAAAACTTTGATTGAATTGCGATCTATCTAAAAGACAAAATTAAGAACTAAAACTTTCAGAGAATTGTTTTTTATCAATTTGGAACCATTTGATCCTTGGGAGCAAGAAAATTCGAAAAAGACCATATTAAGGACCACCCTAATGTATGTTTTACATCGTACGTGCATAAATATATGTCAAAAATAGTATAAGGGCAATTAAGCTCATCGTTAAAACTAAATTTTCGATTGTTTGACATAAATTGCGCGGTTAGTTCAGAACCTAATATGTGAAAAATACTCTTTACTTACACATATTAATAACATTGAAAGGTCAAAATCACGCCAAAAAAACTAAAATGCACGCATAATATTCTTAAAGGGCTATTTCTATATTTAACTTATAAGTCATATAATATAATGCACAAACCCAAATATTTTTAGTTTAATTTTTCCGTATATCAATAATAATTACTATTAAGACACTTACCTCATATAAACTGTAGCATGTTGATCCATATCCTTCGGGTCCGGCAATTTGTAATACTCGTAGACGAACGATTGTCCTGCACCAGTTGGGGATCCATTGCCGCCGACCGTGGCGTCTTGTGCCTGCTGGGCCGCCTGCCCTCCAAGGCTGAGCATGGCACCAGCGCTAAGAGGCGGTTCATAATATCGCTGTTCGTGGTGGTGACCATGATGGGTGGCGGTCAGTGGACCGCTCGAATAACCATCGCCTTCCATCGGCGAACCCGATGAGTCGCGACGCCTTCTGGTCGGAAAAGAAAAATATATGTTACAAAAATAATGGAATTCTTATAAAATACTAGAAAAAATAAATTATTATATAAAGCAAAATGAGGCATTAAAATCAAATTTGACTTTGAGCAAATATGTTGTGAAAACTAAACCAATTACATCACAATAAATAACACATATCAAACAAACAACTATCTGACTATGTTCAGTAAAACTCCCAGCTAATTGATTATTGTAGAAATGTGTTCTTTTGTTCTTTTTCAACAATTTGTAACCTGGTCCTTTTTACCCCATGCGTCGGGTATATTAGGACGGTCAAACACATCCGATGACTTATTTCAATTTTAAAGGGATTTTACAAAATAATAGCTACATTATCTGCCAATGCAAAATATAAATTTCATGGGTATATTTTTTTACAAAGATAGATATATAACCTTGATGTGGTATTTCGTCAAAAATATTTATCAGCAGAATTGGAATAACTATTTATTTTTAATTTTTTTTTTGTTAACCTAATTTATTTTTGTATTACTATTTTTTATTGTTTACACTTTTACTAGGGTAAAGGTTCAGTTGGCCCTTCTTATCATGTAAGCTTTTATAAAAATTATATAAAAAAACTGTTGAATTTAACTTAAAATTAATAATACATTTTATAAAATAATTCAACCTAAAAATGTTATTAATTATTTACTATCTACTTTCAAATATTCTTGTTAAAATTTTTTAACTTTACTAGTTTTTGAAATATCGGTCGAGGGCATTTTTACTCTTTTAATCCCTGTTCTACCCTATTATAATTTAATACTAAATGTGGTACATTATTCAATTATGAGATTGATACAAATAATGATGTAATAAATGAAGCTAGTAATGAGTAAGAATTATAATACACATATAAAGTTAGGCAATACGAATTGAGTACATTTTTTCATCTTACAATCAGACAAAAAATATTACACATACGATATGACAGGTGCAAATAAATATAGCCATAATATTGTCCCAATTGCTCCCAATCCGATAAGCGATGTCAAGCTGTCAATTTCGAAATTGACAATTCGGATAAACAATTATTTTTATATCATTCCAAATATGCAACGCAGGAGATTAATTAAATTCACTATAAAATTTACTTGTAGTTATACTTTAAAATTTTATGTCACCTTGATCTATAAAAATTGACGTTGCGGGTGGAGGAAAATGCATTGCTGGTATATATATATATATATATATATATATATTTATATCAATAATGAAATGATTTATATAGTCTCCATATATATTTTTGATAATATATCTACTATTATGTTCATTATATTGACAAATAGCATTTCAAGTTTGTGCGTTTTATCAAGGTGTTTCACAATAGAATATTGATAAAGTAATACATTTTATTGCAGTTTACATGCACTAAAGATATTAAGTAATACATACTTGTATTAATAAAAATGACTTGAAGATAGAAGTTTGTAAAATCAATACTGCTCACTGTTTGGACCACCCAAAAAACACGATTAGTTGTAGCGAAAAAGTAAAAAAATTTTCTTAACTTTCAGTACTTAATCTTTTTAATTTTTATTTGGTAAGTATTATTAACTTGTTAAGATATTGTCTCAACATTGTGATAATTTTTATTAAGTTAACACATTCGCGATCAATAAAAGTTTTAGCAAGGTTAAAAAGCTGGCAATCATTTTATTTTTAAATTGTTATGACATCCAAAGTTTGATTAAAAGGGTAGTTTATAAGAGCAGTCAGATTATTATATTTTAATAGTTATATAAAATGAATGGTATAACATCCACGTCAAGTATTATACTTCTATATTAAAGAAAAAAAAACTAAAAAAAATACGAAAATAGCTGAAGAATTAGTTAGTCATTACTTTGACAGGTATAATAATTACAAAAACGTGAGGTAATATGGAATTAAATTAAAAATATTTGACTTTGAAATTTGAATGCTATAGCATTCATGTCATTCTACATCACAATAAAAATAAATGCTCTAGCATTCACGACCGCAAACGTGTAACTATGAGTTATATAATCAAAATATATATATATATATATATATATATATTATATATAAATAAATAATTTCAGTTGTGATATAAAAAATCCGCTTTAAAAATGAAGTACAGATTTGATTCATCAAATCAAAATGGTTATTACTAAATATAATAAATAAAACTTGAACACTAATAACGTATATATTTCACATTGTACGTTACTGTAGATATTAAAATACAACAAAACTTCCCACTATGATTTGAACAGTTAGAATTGCATCAAGGAATTAATATCATAATTTATCTAAAAGCGTCTATTTTATCTTCGAATAAATTACAATCTTCCACATGACTAAAGCTCGAGGCGACATAGATCAACAAGCTGATTTAGCTAGACTTGATTCAGTTGATATAATTGTCAGGAATTCTCATATTTCAAGATCTAAATAAATAATGAAATAAATAAAAGACGAAATGAAGTTAGCTATAAATATTGCGATACTAGTTCCTGTTTATAAACTTCGTTGTGTACTACATATGTGTCTGATAGTAGTCAGTCAGCATCGTGAAATACTTGACCCGTATTCAAGTATATGGATACTTATAAGCCGATGCCTATGAGCAGGGTTAAAAACTCGTTTATATCATATGTGTCAGGTGGTTGAACGGCCGGCACTCGATCGGGTTTTATATGCGGAATTATCTTATATCGGGACCTACCGCAACAATACGATAGCTATTTCTGATCAAAGGTAATAACATTATTATTAATTGTTATTAGCAGCAATAAGTAAAAATAGCCCTTACCCGGAATTGCTGCATAAATAAAAAATTCTTCACATAGACTTAAGACAACTGATAGAGTTGCCATCTATAAAATTCGACTTATTTAGTTAATTAAAATCATCACAACAGCTTAAAGAATTCAGAAGTTCTAATTGCTATTCAGACAAGTGGTGCATGGCATCGTGCCTTAAAGCAAATGCCTTTAAATAAGGTAAAACCTTGTAAATCTCGATATGGAACCAATACAAGTAAAATGTTTTTTAATTCATTGAAATCAAAAGTTTCGTTCTCTCAAAACCTGAATTGCCATTTCTTGCACTTTTTGCTCCGTGTCTTTGGTACGGATGGACCTGGCTCTGCCAATTAATTAGCACGTCTCCTCATCAATAGGAACCGAATGCTTTTTGGTTCATTGAAACTGGTTAATATCTACTGTTGATATCGCCTATTTCAATCGTCGAAAATGTGTATCCGCACATACATGCATAACATACATGAGCACGAACACACACATACGTTCATATTTTCCAAAGCATGCCAAAATATTTAGAAGGCATTGAAACGTAAAGATATGCAAAAAAAAAGATTTTTTTATTGCTATATTTTACCTTCTAAGAAGTAAATAATAATAAAAAAAAAGTTACAACAGATCCTTAACATCTACAATTTCATCGAAGTGTATAAGAGTGCATGAATCAATTTTAATGCACCGAAATATTTTCGATTGCTATATATTTAACAAGTTATTGTATACATTGCTGCTAATAAACATTTGCCTAAGTTTGGTAGGCTTATCAATTTTATAATTTTCCAATATGACACAAAGTTTTACACATACCGAAAAAAAAATTCTTCAAATTTCTTTTCCTTCAGCGCTGGTTCGCTAATAGTTTTCAGTTTTCAAGTCGAATAAAAATAGACATCATAATACTCTGACGTTGACAGTAAAATAACTACATAAAGTCAAGTAGTTAAACATGTCGAAGATATGAATCAATGATTGGTTTAATTATATGAACATTCTAATACAAAAAAGTGTCTGGCTACCACGGTTACTCGTCGCCGCACTTCTGCATCCACAACAAAAAAAAATCAATCGACTTCTTACTAATATGTAAATTGAATGTTGAAATAATAGAGTGAAAAAATTGCGGAATTGTTGAAAATAATTATAACAACGCCAACACACGGTGTTGATGTAATAAAAACCATTTTATTTGGAAGTAAGATTTGATCTGATTCTATAATATATTCGGATTTTAATTTATTCAAGGCGTTAAATAATTCTTAGCCAAATATGTCAATCTTTATATATATATATATATATATATATATATATATATATAATATATATATATACATGTACAAGAAATGTTAATGTTAATATGGTATTCAAATATTGACAATATTTTTTACTGACAAGAAAAGATTGACAGTAATGATCTATATTCAAATAGTGATTTTTAGTTATTGTTTTATAATTCTAATACAAATATAAATATGTAGTACTTCAATATTATGCTAATTCAGATTAATTTAGGGGTCAATTTCTGGATAAAATACAAATGTAAACGGGGGGTAACGCTAGGTTATGGGTCTAGCTTCATATGAATCGGTAGTAAGAACTGTCAAAAAGCTATGTATTTGCTGTGGGATCATACGTTTCACGCATAACATTATTATTTATTAGAGACATGGCTTCTTTAGATTCCTAAATTAATTTCTAGTAAGCGTAATTTACCTATTATTGGTGATACTGAGATGTCACCAGTAATCATAATAATATAAACAATCAAAACTGGGTACTTCGAATTTCACCCACTGGGTCCAATTCAATGGGTTTCAAGTCTTACATATTTTGCTAAATGTTAGCTAACATTTAGAAACCTTATGTGATTTTTTTTATAAATCTTTGAATTTGAAGTCAATTTACTTTAACACATTAATCGCCACAATAAAATTTTCACATGGGCCATGAAAAATACTACGTAATTTAGTTCAGAACGTATTAAGGAAACACAACGTATCATATTTATTTTTTTGATATTTTGGCAAAATTTCTGGAAAACACAGTTTTTGTGTCACGCATATATTTTGACATGGCCTATTGTTAAAACTGTTATATCTCCTTCTACCAAATCGTCTCATATGACTCATATAGAACTTCTTAGCGCCAGTATGACAGACATGGTGATTAACGTGTTAAAGTA